TGTGTTTGGCAGTGGGCTCTTGCTGTCTTGCTGAGATCTCCCTCCACAGGGTTCCTGCCTGAACAATAAAGCCTGTGCTGGTGTTTGAGCTGTTTCTCTGCCTCTTCCATGCTTCTTCTTTTCTAACAGGTTCTATAAAATTTTCTAGATGACCTCATGGTTAAACAACTGTTCTCTTGGGTGAGTCTAAGGTACAGTTGGTACCCTATATGTGTCTGTGACTGGGCTATTTGGATTTACTAAAACTGTTTGCTCCCCTACCAACTGATGTAAAAATCTAAGGTTTTACTTCAAAAACAACAACTAAATTAAAATGTACATAAAACCTCATAGAGCTGTGATATAGTTACTGGTTCCTTACATTAAACATTTATGTTTTTCAGGTATATCAAGCCTCCTAAAATACAAAATTTAGATAAACACAGTAACAAAAAGTTAATGGTACTGATACACTGTTCTTTAGTTGCTAAATTGGACATCAAAATTTTAACCATGGCTCTTTTAAGTTTTTGTCACTGTAGTTCTGATCCTTCTGGGGCATTTACAATCAAGTCCATAAAAAATGACTCTAATAAGTGCTTATGTGTCAACCAAGTTAGGTTTTTAGACATCTGCTTTTATTGGATTTTGTTACGTATTGTCCTTTTCTAGAAGCCCACTGCCTAAGAGCCACTCCTTCAAGCCTCTTTGTTGCTTAAATTTAGCCAAAAATGTCTAGTTGGTACTGACTCCCACCTGATCTGCTTGTTATTTCCCCCCGACATGGGCTCAAAACCAAACAAACAAAATCCAGGAAAAAACAAATCCTCATGATAAAAATAAGAAAATGACCAATCAGGAAAGATCTTCAGTCTATGGCCATACCACCCTGAATGCACCTGATCTCATAAGCTAAGCAGGGTCGGGCCTGGTTAGTACTTGGATGGGAGACAGATCTTCGAAGGAGACTGCTCAGGGACAAACAGTTTGGAGACAAGGCATTAAAGCCCTTCTAGACACAAAATCATATTTTTAGACAGGTCCTCTATTTAAAGGCAAAGTGAGTATTTTTACTGGCTCTAAATATGTCCTTTGATACTTAAAGATGGTAGTTTTAACTTTTTTAAACAAAGAGTTTTCTTGGACATATATACTGATAATATATTGTTGCCATGGTAATTCTACTCAGTTAAAAAAACCCAAAAGATACGGTCTGGGTAAAAGAATAAAATGTCCAACCATTAAAACCCCATTAGAGGGGCCCTTTTGTTGTTGTCTTGTCTATCCCTACTACAGTTAAAGTTACAATAATTGCTCCCTGGATCCACCACATCCGAGAAAAGCCAGCCTCTCCCGAGTGGGGATGTGTTCCTGACTTAGCCTCACCATCCAAGATCACCCTCCAAAACATCTGTGCCCTTCCTCGGCAGGACTCCACTTCCCAGGAGACAACAGGGGACCATGGGCAACAGGACAGCAGTCCCTTTTTAGTTACTCCAAAAGCTGACCTGTCTACACACGGAGGAAGGTCAAACATGGGACACACCCTGCTCTCCTCTACACACTTGAACTCTTTTGGGTTGGCCTTTAGAAAGTTTTTCCCATGCACTAAATGTTGTCAGAGAGCCATCCTTGGGACCTCCACACAGCCATACTTTGTCTCATGCACCCACCCACAAGTCAGCTTTGTTACATCAGCTCATATACTCCCAGGTTAATGAGTTACTGGTAAATGATACTAAAAGTCACAGAGAAAAAAAACAAAACAAAACAATGCAGGCTACATTTGTCATAAAAAGTGGGGCAATGGGTCTTATCTTGGGAGTGTATTTGATGTTACCCTGCCTGATCCCCATGGTATTGAAGTCTATCAGACCATTATGAAGGCCACCGTATATGTATATATATATATATATATATTGCCGTGCATGTAATGTTGCTATAAAAATACAAACCCCCTAGATCAAGATGATGCTCTTTGACCCTAGGAGGGTCAGAGCATCAAAGGGAGGAATGATGTAGCAGGGTGGAGGGCCATAAGGGAAACAGGCTGTGTTCTGATAACGAGGCAGGAGGAAGAGATGGCAAAGCAGAGATAAAATCTAAAGAATTGAAACATGTAGAAGGTCACATAGCCCTGGGGAAATGAAATAGCCAATAAAGTCACATGCAGCCATATGTGAGTTGAGCTTTGTTTTTTGCTTCTGTAATCTGCTTGCAAGGGTATATAAGGTGAGACTACTTTGTTCTCGTGGCTCAGCCTTTGGACATGAGTCTATTGGGTCTGTGCTGACACAATAAAGCATTGCATCCTACTAATCTGCCTCAGTGTCCCGTGTCTAAGCTTGAGATTCCCACAACAATGTAAGATAACAATATAAGACATATATCTATATATATCTTAAAATGAATTTGGTAAATTCAGCATTACCTAAGTGATAGCAGTAAAACAAATTATTATAATCCATACAATGAAAAATGTGTCGGTTTTTGCTTAAGGAAAGTTGCTTCTAGTTTTACAAATCCTTGGGAACCCCCTCATTTCAATGTGCACATAAACTTCCCAGGGAAGAAAGCATCACGGTTCTCTACTTAGCTGCTGTCACATGGGAGGGGGAGAGGAAAACTGGGGAGGGTGGGAAGGGATTTAGTTGAGCTGGAGTTTCCTCCTTTGTAAAATGTAAATAATGATGTTTTACTGAATGTTTGCGGTGAGAGTTGAGCTGGGGATGGAACTCAGTGTCTGGTGCTTGCTAAGCAGGAAATGTACCATTCAGCTACTCTCCCTTTAACATTTCTATTTATTCAGCACTGGGGAGGCTGAAACAGGAGGATCATGAGTTCAAGGCCAGCCTGGCCTACAAAGTGAGACCCTGCCTCAAAGGAAATTGTGCTTATTAGGGCCAGTGCTATCCATGATCCTCAAAGCCTGAAACTGAGCAAACACCTTCCTGTGACTTTGCCTAATTTCCAGAATCTCTTTCTGTCTATTTTCAACAGAGATGAGTGTTTTCACCCCAAGAAAAGATAGTTTTATTGTAAATATGCACAATGGACTAGCAGGATGGATACAGATCATGTAAGCAGTTTGGATAGAAATGTTTGGAAATAACATTTCAAATAACATATCAAATTTTGTCAGTGTGCCCCAGTCTTAATCTCAAAGGGAAATAGTTGACCAAAAATAGTTTTCTTTTTGTGGTGCTGTGGATCAAACCAGGGCCTCGCACATGCTAAGCAAGTGCTCCAGCATGGAGCTGCACCCTCAGCTCCAATGTTCTTGTTACGGAAACTGATGTGAGCTTAGGGTGGGGGCCGGGGAGTGGATTGAACCTACAGTCCCAGCTGCTCTGAGGCTGAGGCAAGAGGATAACTGTCTAGAAGTTGGAGGCCAACCTGGGCAACATCTCAAAAGAGCAAATCACTGTCAGTCAATCAAGTAAGCAAACAAGCAAATAAAAACAAAAAGAAAAAAAAAACCCTGAAGTGATACAGGGTGGTATTTAAAATTGTCCATTTTATATTTGAATGACCATACATTAATAATATGAGGGAATTTCACTGTGATAATTCTGTACATGTGTATAGTGTACCTTCTACAAGTTCACCCCCTCCATTATCTTCCCATTCCCCCTCTCCATCCTTCCCCCTTTCAACGAGTGTTTGATGAGTTTGCTCTCTCTCTCTCTCTATATATATATAGTACATCCATCTTCTTCACTCCTATCCTTTCCTTTCTCCCTCTCCCCTCTGACTGATACCCCCCCAGACAGTTCCCCATATATGTTCATGTCCCATTATCATCATCATCACCATAACCATCATTTTGGGTCTAGGTTCCACAAATGAGAAAGAACATTCAATATTTAGCTTTTTGACCTTGGCTAACCTTGCTCAGCGTTATGATCTCCAGTTACACCCATTTTCCCGCAAACAACATAATTTCATTTTTCTTTATGGCTGAGTAATATTCCATGGTCTATCTTATTTTCTTTATCCATTCATCAGCTGTTGGATACGGTGGCAAATTTTGCTAGAGAATTGTATGTATACAGCACTCATATGTATTTCCTACCTGCCGGACACTGAATAGACAAATAAGTCTTTACCCTGTTCTTCCTGAATACCAAAGATGTTGCATTTTTATTCTTAGAAGTAGTTTTTATAAAATTCTCAGTTTCATATGAGGGTGGGAATACTCCAGAACAGAATTATACAGGCTTATTTTCTGTCATCTGGAAGCTTTTTATTTAAGACACTAATGGGAGGCAAGTGATATCTCCATAAACAAATAAACTGCATAGTATGGTGCTTGGAGCCCAGTGCAATCTAAATAAATGATAAACATTAATAAGAAGAGTTAGGAAGTTCAGCTCAGGGGCTCCTCTGCTAATAAAAGAATTTCTGATTTTAAATAATAAGTGATAATGATCACAAGACTCTATTTCATAAAGGGCTTGAATTTACAAGATCCTTCATTCCTCTTTAATGCATTTGACAAAACAATCAGTCCATAAAATACTGATGGGAGAAGCCACTGATTCACCAGAGACAGGGAGATACTGATGCAGGACTTAAATAGACCTTGTCAGGTGTGGTAGTATACACCTTTTTTTTTTTTTCAGTGGGACTGGGATTTGAACTCAGTTTTGCTCTTACAAAGAAGGTGCTCTAGCACTTGAACCACACCTTTGATACATTTCACTCTGGTTATTTTGGAGATAGGGTCTTGTGAAATATTTGCCTGGGCTGTTCTCCAAAAATGATCCTTCCAATTTCAGGCTTCCAAGTAGCTAGAATTACAGGTGTGAGTCTCCAGCACTTGATTATGGTGGTGTACACCTTCAATACCAGCACTCAGGAGGTTTAAGCAGAAGGATCGCAAATTTGATGACAGCCTACCTTTCTAAGCCAGCAGGTATCATGATTTTCCTTATTCACGATTAAACCAAGTATCACAGAGAGTGAATTATTTACTTGACATCACACAGGAGGATGAGACAGACTCAGGCACTCTGTGTTCAGTGCTGACTGCCAATCCTGCAATGGTCCAACCCTTTTCTCAGTGCCCCCATCACCTCCTGGTTCCTCAAGCTATAAATGAGGGGGTTGATCATAGGAGTAAGGACCGTGTAGAAGACAGAGACTACCTTGTCATGACTAGGGGTCCGGTATTGCTGAGGCCTCAGGTAGGTGAACATGGCTGTCCCATAGAAGAGGGAGACAGCTGTCAGGTGGGAGGAGCAGGTGGCCAGAGCCTTTTTCCGGGACTGAGTAGAACGCAGATGAAGCACAGCACCCAGTATGCGAGCATAGGAGGCAATGATGATGGAGAAGGGAAAGAGCAGCATGAAGACACAGCAAACAAATACCACCTTCTCAAACACAGATGTGTCTATACAGACCAGCTTCAACAAAGACAGCAACTCACAGAAGAAGTGGTTCACCACCCTTAAGCCACAGTAAGGGAAGGTCATTACCACCACCATCTGGACCAATCCATCTATTACCCCAAAGGCCCAGGAGCTCCCAACGATCTGGAGACAGACCTTCTGATTCATGAGGATGGGATAATGAAGTGGATGGCTAATGGCCACATAGCGGTCATAAGCCATGAGTCCCAGCAAAAGCCCCTCAGATCCCACAAGAGAGACAAAGAGGCCAATTTGTGTACCACATCCCACAAAGGAGATGGACTTGCTGCCAGACAGAAAGTTGACTGCCATCTTTGGCACATTAGTACAGACCAACATGAGGTCCATGAGAGAGAGCTGATTGAGGAAGAAGTACATGGGAGTATGAAGTCGTGGATCAAGGTAGATGAGGAAGATGAGGAGAACATTCCCACAAAGGGCCACTGTGAAGACTATCATGACCACAGAGAAAAGAACAGTATCAGTTGAATTGTGGGAGAAGATTCCCAAGAGGATAAAGTCATCTGTGGATGATTGGTTCAACCATATCTCCATGGTTCAGTTGTTGTTCCTGGTCACCTGAAAACACGGATACAATTTTATAGGATTGACTACATTTTATTCTCTTTTTTTGTTGTTGTGCTGAGAGCTCAATCCATGCATGCTAGACAAGTACCCTACCACTGAGTTTCTTCCACTGACTGATATTTCTTTGTTGAATTCTGCATTCTATATATTTAGTCAGCTAATTTGTTTGTAACTCATAAGACCTCAATAATGTAAGATTTGGACATCAAAAGACATAGATTTGTGTTTCATGACACAGAAATAGGAGTCCTCTTAGGTCATGGAAGTGGACACAGGACTACATATCTGTATTGGTTTGTATCATTACTAAGAAATACAGAAATGGAGTTTTATGTTTTGTAGAACCTTTGGACAATCTCCTGTGGCAGGCAGTCTTGGCTTTACCACAACACTGTCTTTTGTCTGATATCACAAGGACTGTCTATAACAGGGCTTGGACAATTCCATTCCCAAGTGTTAATTTATACGTGTTCTCAAAAGCAAAGGGTATGATGCCTGAATTGCTCTTTAGTCAGTGTGTCTTCATGTTCTAAGAGTTTTATCACGATAACCACTCAGTTGCATTCACACACACACACACACACACACACATGTATTTATATACTTATAGATGAAGGCAAGTGCTCCACCACTAAGTGTAAAGTGTACTGTCCCACATGAGAGGATGAGATATAATTAGATACTGTGATTGTCAGTCAACTGGGGGTGAAGAAGAGTCACAGGATCAATGGAGAGAAGTAAAGACTTGGTGTCTAGAACTTTTAACAATAGTGACTCAACTCTGATATGCTGAGATGTTAAAAATAATCTCATGATCAGGGCCTCAATAGAAGTGGCTGGAAAATCAGTGTAAGTAATATTGACTTACTAAATTATCTTTAGTAGAAATCAAAGAGCATTCTATATAAATCCATCTACCTGATGTCTTCCACCTGGATTTTTGAACCATTTGTTCACTGTCTCATTGGATTTCTAATTAATTTATTTGTAGTCTGTCACTGAAGAGGAATTTCCTTTGATCTTTGGTCAAGAATTTGTTCTAAACATCTCTTCTACCCTTCCTTGCTTCTTTCCTCTCTTGTGGTGCTGGGTATTGCATAGGCTAGGCAGATACTATATTTCTGAGTTACACCCCTAGCCAGACTACAACTGTTTTATCATTGGCCTCATACTTTCACCCACCTAAAGCTTGTCTTCACCCTCAAAGGCACTGCGGAATTTTTAGAAGGCCTTTCCAGCCCTATTACTCATCAGCCTACTTCCAGTTTCACTTGCTTTTTTATCTCTCTTGTCTGCTCTATCACTATTTCTGTGGCTCTGCAAGTAGCTCAGCACTGCAATATTTTTCTTCGGTTTTGTATTAGTTACAGATTTGTTGTGTAACAAATAGCTAAAACAAAGGAACTTAAATAAAACAATAACAAGCATGTATTATCTCACAGTTTCTGTGTGCTAGGGGTCCAGATGTAGCTTAGTCGGGGGCCTCTAGTATAAGGTCTGTCATGAGCTCCTGTCGAGCTGTTGGTCAGAAGCAGGCCTTTGGAGGCATGACAAGAAGAGGCTCCACTCAAATATTTGTCATGTAATCATGGCATGGCTTTGTTCTGTCCTCACAGGACACCTTGCAGGATGAAAGCTGACTTCTCCCAGAGCAGGTGATCCACGTGAGGATGGCAGCCAAAGTACTCTAGACAGAAGGCAACATTCTTAAGCTAATGTCGAAGATCTGCTGCTTTCTAATCTGTAGACCCAAGTCACTAAATCCAGGCCACATTTAAGGGGAGGAGACGGCACAAGGTCATGCATACCAGGGAATCGGGATCAGTGAGGACCCCCTTAACCGACCACATCCTTTCAGATAGTAGTCTCTAATCCTGATTTTTTAAATTGCTATCTCTTTAATATACCAACATGTATTCATTAATCATTCATTGTTCCAGGGTAGCTTCTTCCCAAATCAATTCGGATTATAATTTTCAGAGGGGATTTAGAACTACCTGGGTAATTCCATCATATTAGTATCTCAAATTACCTCTTCTCCAGTTATTTGTAATCTTTCTAAATATTTAAAAATACAAATGTAGTTTCACAATACATTATAATTTTTCCCAGCACAAATGACAAACTTTCTTCTTTAGCAATTTCCTTTGTGCAAGAATATAGAATAATAAATCTATAGAGGATCTGGAGAATCATAGAAACTTTTTGCCCTAACCATGTGTAGCCTAAATTTATCTTAAGTTATTACTGTAGTTAACATATGTTTATTTCTCTGTGACTTTCTTTCTTTCTTTTTTGGCAGTGGTAAGGATTGAACCCAGAGCCTCATGCATGCTAGGCAAGATATCTGTCACTGAGCTACACCCCCAACCCTCTGTGACCTTCTTTTCTTTTCTTTTTTTTTTAAGGAGGGAGGGGAGAAAGAGAGATGAGAGAGAGAGAGAGAGAGAGAGAGAGAGAGAGAAGAGAGATTTACTAGGTAGGCTCTGTACCACTATGAGCCAAATCCCCAGTCCTGTGACATCCTTAATGTATAGAAACCAAAGCAGGAAATAGTATTGAGTAAAAATGTCCAGGTAAGCCAAGCATAGTAGTGCATGCCTGTAACCCCAACACTCAGGAAGACCATGAGTTCAAGGCCTGCCTGGGTTATCTAGCAAGACCCCACCTCAAAAAAAAGTTAAAATAGACAAAAAAGGCAAAGCGGAAATTCACATGCATATGAAAAATATTTCTATTGCCATGCATCTCAATTTTATCTATATTCTAAGATCTATAGAAATGGTTTAGCAGGTTCTCCATGACTATTTAATAAGACTGAAATGCATGAAGATTATAAATTTACTGATGCTTATAAATTAGAATTTATATTTTCTATCTGGACAAATAGGACAATTTCTAATCAATTTTTCACAAAATCATCCTGAAACCCTTACGCATATCAGCTTATTTTACATAAAAAGTTAGATATATGATAATAACATATACAAAATATCTACAGTTATGCACAAAGTATGTGTCTGTACATTCTATGTAACATTCTAAGTAAAGATATCTTTGAAATATTTTTCTATCACATGGTATTAGTACCAAACTAGGTAGAGAGTATGGAAGCAATAAAGGAACCCTTCTTCTCAGTACATTATAAAATCATGTTCAAAATGCTGCATACATTTTTCCTCAAAGGATCAAATTCTGATTTTTATATAAATAAACTGGATTCTGATGAATTTTAGCAGGTGTTTTTCATACATAAAAGATGGTGATTTGCACAGAGCCTAGAAAACTAAGAAGCAAATATTTTTGAGGTCCCCCTTCTATCTTTAATCTGCTGGGAAGAGGCAGGAGTCTCTGCTTTGTTCTAGTGACAGCACACTTACACAAGTGAGTCTCCTTAGAAAAGGCTTTTCTTTATGGAAACAGAAAATATAACAGAAAAACAAGAAAAGGCATCTGGAGCCCTGGGTCTAAGACTGTTCTATGACTGCTCACTGTGGACCTCAGCCTGTGGAGATGCATCTGTGACCTCAGTAGAAGGAACATAGTCAGGCCGCCTCTATCGTGGTACTCCTGTAGATTCTGACAAGAGTTTGTATGGAAACTTGCAGCAAGGTTCTGCAGCAAAATGTGAGTTGTGGAGAATATTTCTCTCCCTGTCTTGGGCAGCTCCATTGAAATTAGATCCTTATTTCCCTGCTGTGTTCAATGCCTTCCCAGACTGCCTAATGACTTGTCAACCTAAAGTGGACAAGCAGAGTTCTGTCTTTCCTTGGAGCAATACACATTCTCCCCTTCTTCCCATTTCAGTTAATGATGGTCTAATTGCTTGGTTAACACACTTGGTTTATTCCCTACTTTTCTCTTCTCATATAACATTCCACTATCAGAAATTCTTGCTGACCCTTCTTCCAAAACATAGCCACTTGACCCCTTTCAATTCTGTCAATTCCCACCTGGTACTGGATTTTTATGGATACTCTGTATGCATAAAAATCAGTGTTTTCACTGTAAAAGCAAGACTTTTACCAAAAGTCTCTCCATCATCACCCATCTTTCCTTTCCTTCTGTTGTCCCCAGAATTCCCTTCCCTTCAGTCTCATCACCAACCTCAGGGCCTTGATGCTCCCTGCTACCTCCTTTCAAAAGGCTCTTCCCCGATAGGCTGTGGGTTTTCATCTACCTTCTCCTCATCTTCTCAGGGTAGCCTTCCATTAATATGCTATTTAGATTCTCCCCACCTCAGTCCTTTCCCTGCCTTATGCTTCCCTTCCCAAGCAAAATCAGTGCATGCTACATTTTATTCATGTGGATTTGTTTGCTTTCTGTTTTCCTAACTTGATCCTATGTTCTCTGGAGCCATTTTTGCTCATGTTGAAATCCCAGGCTCCTGGAACAGTGCCTGTATAATAGTATGTATTAGATGAGTAATAATATTATTATATAAAATGAACTTGAGAAATTATTCTAACATTTCTCATGCCATTTTTCCTGCTTTCTGACTTCAGCCCTCTCTGTTAGCTGATTAGTTAGTGGCTTCTTTTTTTTCTTTCTTGAAATGACAGTGTGAAAGAAGCTACCTTATTTTTACAATGTTCTTTGAAGATATGATGACTCCATGTCCCTGGTCAACACTATCTACCTGTCTCTTCTCTTTCACCTCTTTCCACTCATTTTGATGTAGACAATTTTTTTCAACCTAGATGCCCATAGTTGAGCCCCCAATGCAGACAGAAAGAGGAAAGGAAAATGTTAATAAGGCATTAAGGAAAGACAAGAAGAGAAATAGGTCAAGGAGGAAGACTATAAGAAAGAATGTGGAGAGACATAACAGTAAGAAGAATGAGTCAACCCTCCCCACCCCCCAACAAAAAAGAAAAAAAATCAACAAAACCTGGAGAGAAGTGGACAGTAGGAGGAAAAGGATATGCTGATACACAAATAGCAATGGGAAAATGAACCAGCAAGCAGTAATAGGATCTGCAAGAAAGAAAGAAG